AGTTAGATCTAGCTTCTCAACCAACCTTGTGCTACAACAATTGCAACATGATCCACTATCCACAATGAGAGAACAAGCTTTATCTGAAATTTTACACCTTGTGTGGAAAATATTCTCTCTTTGTGAGATATGAGATTCATTAGGTTGACTTCCTAGAAGCCTTCTAATCATCAACAATTGACCTCTCTTACTCCTTTTATCTCTCACATATAATTCCTTTAGGCCCTGATAGACAGGTGGATAGATTGAAAGCCTGTCTTGTGGCTAAGGGATACACGCAAGTATATGGTTTGGACTACAGTGACACTTTCTCTCCAGTTGCGAAGATGGCCTCGGTTCGTCTCTTCTTAGCCATGGCTGCTATGAGGCATTGACCTTTGTTTCAATTAGACATCAAGAATGCCTTCTTACATGGTGATCTAGAGGAAGAGATTTATATGGAGCAACCTCCCAGGTTTGTTGCTAAAGGGGGATTTGCCTGTCTACTATTAGACAGGAGCTCACTTCAACGAAGAAGTCCTTGTATGGCCTTAAACGTTCACTGACACATAAATTTGTCTATCTTGTTTATGTAGATGATATTGTGATTATTGGTGATGATCAGGAGAGCATCAAGGCTTTGAAGCAACATTTATTTAAACACTTTCAAACTAAAGATTTAGGTCCCTTGCATTATTTCCTAGGGATTGAGGTCGTTCAGTCAAAGTCCGGTATTGCGATTTCTCAGAAAAAATATGCCCTTGATATTCTAGAGAAAACCGGACTTACAGATTGTAAGCCAGTTGACACTCCCATGGATCCCAATGTGAAGCTTATGCCTAATCAAGGGGAGCCTTATCCTAACCAGGAAGATATCAGAGATTAGTAGGAAAATTGAATTATCTCACCATGACCAGACCTGATATATCCTTTCCTGTCAGTGTTGTAAGTCAGTTTCTTAACTCTCCCTGTGAGAGTCATTGGCATGCAATTATTCGGATCCTTAGATACATCAAAAGATCACAAGGAAAGGGACTTGTTTACAATAATAGAGGACATATAAACATTGTTGGATATTCAGATGCAGATTGGGCAGGTGATGCAAGTGATAGACGGTCAACATCAGGCTATTGTGTCTTCATGGGTGGTAATCTTGTCTCATGGAAGAGTAAAAAACAAAGTGTTGTTGCACGATCAAGTACAGAAGCAAAATACTGTGCTATGGCTCACACTATATTGGGAAAAACCCAAGTCCCACATCGACTAGAGATTAGGCAATTGAATAGTATATAAGTGGAAAACAACCCTCACCTTATAAGCCAGTTTTGTAGGGTTGAGTTAGGCTTAAATCCATTATTCTAAGATGGTATCAGAGCTATCCTAAATTCTTAAAAATGGGCCACTCACCATTTATCTACGTACCAAGCCCAATAGTGCTGGACGTGAGAGGGTGTATTGGGAAAAACCCAAGTCCCGCCAATCCTAGATCATTAAAAGGGTCACCCACCATTTATCCACGTACCAAGTCCAATAGTGCTGAACGTGAGGGGGTGTATTGGGAAAAACCCAAGTCCCACATCGACTAGAGATTAGGCAATTGAATAGTATATAAGTGGAAAGCAACCCTCACCTTACAAGCCGGTTTTGGAGGGTTGAGTTAGGCTTAAATCCACTATTCTAAGACACCACATGTGAGCTCCTGTGGCTAAAATTCTTAATTCAAGAGTTGTAGTTTTGCAAGGTTAGTCATATGGAACTAGTTTGTGATAACCAGTCAGCTTTATACCTCTCCTCTAATCCAGTTTTTCATGAGAGAACAAAGCATATAGAGGTTGACTGTCATTTCATCAGAGAAAAGATCCTCTCCGGTATCATCAAGACCTCCTTAGTTTGCTCCAAGGATCAACTTAAATCTTTACGAGGTCCTAGGATAACATATATATGTAACAAGCTAGATGCATATGATATATATGCTCCAGCTTGACGGGGAATGTTAAGATATTCTAAGATATAGTTTAGATATATTAGTTTATCTTTTCCTAATTTATAGTTTATCTTAATCCCTAAAGTTTAGGGATTGTTTCTGTTACTTGTCTATTTATTTGATTGTACCCATCAATTCAAGTTAATAAGAAATTATTCATATTCAAGTACAATTAACACTGGAAGGTTTGGATCTCTAAACAAACCTAAGTGCTGCACATAGAAGTGAGCACTAGAATATGGCCAAGCAGCAGCCAAACAGTGACAATATACAGATGAAATAATTTAAGCCACATAATTGAAGGCACAGTAGAAAACCTTTTGCAAAACACCAAACAAGTATGAATGGGTCTAGGGCAATCTATCTCAAGATAGGTGGAACTGTTGCTAGGAACTATGTGGGTATGGTTGGAGAGGGGACAATGAAGTTGATGGCAAAAACAGTTGCCAAAATGAGTGTTTGACATGTGATGAGAGGAGAGGCCTGATCTGGAGACAGAAAATGGCCAAAGATGAGTTGAAGATTACTAGGTTGGTCTCGGTACACAAGGGAGGCTGGCTTTCCCTAAAACCATCAGGGGGGGGCTAATCTAAATGAGACATGTCTGATGGCATGGTGGCCAGCTGAAAAGCTTGTCAGAAGAGTAGCAGTCTTCGTCTTCTGGATAAGGTTGGTTTGACATAACTAGCGGTGGGTCAACTTGTGGGGAGGTTGATGTTGTTGCTGGCTGGAAAGGTCTCTGAAAAAGTCATTTGATGGCAGAGAGGGGGCTGATGGAAAGATGACATGGTAGAGAGACAAACTAATATAAGGATTTCAGAGAAGTTAATGGCAGTGACAGGTGAAGTCCGCTGACAAAGAGAAATGAGAAACACATTGGTGAGATGGAGCATGCTAGAAGGAAAACATGACAAAAGAGATGACTAATTATAATAAAGAAAATAATCATTGAAATAAAATGGAAATTTGGATTTTAGGGAATACAATAGTGAAGTTGATAAAGACTTCTATAGAAATAAGAATGGAGTTCGTGTATCTGTGTTTCTCAATGACAATTAGAAAGAAGATACAAAAGAGTAAGAGCTCCCTAGCCAAGAGGCATAAACTTGGCAATAGTGAAGTTGATAAAGACTTCTATAGAAATAAGAATGGAGTTCGTGTATCTGTGTTTCTCAATGACAATTAGAAAGAAGATACAAAAGAGTAAGAGCTCCCTAGCCAGAGGCATAAACTTGACCCCCTATTCTCTCTATTCTCCCTACCCAGATACAAAAGAGCAAGAGCTCCTCTAGGCTCCAACAACTAACAAATGCCCCTATTCTCTCTCCTTACCACACATATTAGACCTCCGTACTCTCTCCATAACTAACTCTCCCATTATTTATTAATATGCCCCACTTGCAATAAGGGGCTAAGGGTTCCAATTTCTTGGACTTTCAAGTGTAGACCTGTAATGGCTTTTCTAATGAAGCCTGCTGTTGGTCCCTAACAGAAGTAGTGACAGGACAAGACACCAAGGATAGCACCTTACTAATACTGTTAAAATGTAACAAAAGTGAAGCAAAATATAGATAAATGACAAGTATTTATATTATTTAAAAATATAATATATTTAATGGTGAAAACTTGAATAATTTAATCTCCACTCTGAGATTATTGGAACTTATTGTTAAAATTCTGAAACTTTTAACAGGTTTTATTTAATGTTCTCAAAGATCGCTATGTAATGCCAAGACGGTTGTTGATGACTGGCACGCCTATTCAAAACAACCTTTCTGAACTGTGGGCGTTGATGTATTTTTGCATGCCTTCTGTCTTTGGTACACTGGATCAGTTCCTTTCTACGTTTAAGGGCATCAGTGATCTTTCATCAGGTCATTCTTATTTAATATAGCATTGCTGGATTATGAATGACTTTGGTTCCTTTTGAAGTTTGCTGCACAATTATAGAATCTGTGTGATTTAGAGGGCCTGTTTAGATAAATTTCTCTGTAAACACTTAGAGAAAAAAAATAAGAAGAAAAAATGAAATTAGCTTCTACATAACTTAAAATTAAAGTATACGTTTGTTAAAAAGCATATTTTGGAGAAGCTAATATGAGAGAACTTTTACACATTAGCTTATGCGTAAGCAAATTTGAGTTTTTGGAGAAACTTATTTTATTTTTTTCTATTTGTTTTATAATACAATTAATGTTCAGTTAATGTTGGGTGATACAGGCTCTTATGCTGAGCACTGTTGTATTGTTATTTTCTAGTCTGTTAGTGCTTGGTTTCTGTTGGGTTCGTGTTTGGTTTTTGTTAACTGAACCCTCTGGTATCTTTTTATTTATATACGTAAGCCTTTTATCATTCTTTCAACATGAATAAGATTTATTTTCAGTCTTTGCGTTCTCTTTATTCTCTTTATGAAGTTTAACACCTAGAGGTAATTATAGAGAACTAAGAAGTTTATTCAAACAGCACCAAAGTTTAAATTGTTCCATAACTAGTGATATAAATTGTTTCAAGGCTTTCAGAAATTATAAAATTTCCTTGTTAAGTTCTTGTATTCTTTCTGGAAAAATGTTACAAGAACCTAGCAAAAGATAGAAGGTTTGTCATGAGTACCTTGTGATGATGCAAAAGTGTAATTATTAAAAGAAAATAAAGTTACTTTGTTTCACCCCTTTCTAATTATTGCAACTTAGTTTCTAAACAGTTCATGATGCTTCAAAGGTAAAGGAGAGACTTAAAATTCTGAGAAGTGTATTGGCAGCCTTTATGCTCCGACGTACCAAGTCAAAGCTTATTGAGTGTGGAAATTTAGTGCTGCCTCCTCTCACTGAGACAACTGTGTAAGCTGTATCCTATTCTACTTCGAGATTACCTGGAACATTTTTATTGCAATTTAAGCTGTAATTTTTATGACCAAGTAAGATGCGAAGTTGTTGTATTGAATATGAAAATTCTATCCAACAACAGGTTAGTACCCCTTGTCATCCTGCAGAAGAAGGTCTACATGTCAATATTGAGAAAGGAACTTCATAAGCTTCTTGCATTATCTTCTGGAACTTCAAATTATCAGTCACTACAAAACATTGTTAGTCAAGCTCTTGTTTTCTTTTTCTTTTCTTTTTTCAGTAAATTACACTTGTCTCTCTTGAAGTTCAGGAGTATTGAAATTTTTATTAAAATAACAACTAAAATAAAAATTATGAGATAAATTATATATGTGGATATATATGTCAATTTATATAATGTATATAATATATATATATATATATATATATAAATTAACATAAATATATATAAGTATTGAATTTTGTAATAATATTTATATTTTATTTAATAATAGATTTTCAATATAAATAGATTCATTTGAAAAGTTGTACGTATAATTACATATTAGCATTACATTTATTAAGTTCATAATCTTCTGTTAGATGTATACTGTTGAATTTGACTGGAGCAAGGCTAATACTGCAAAACTTATGAAGTAGTTCTGTTCTATTTCTGTATTGCATATTGGATTTATATCTGTTCATATTTAATTTTGTTCTGTTTTATGTCAACTCCATATTGTGCTCATGTTATTTGTTCCTTAATCCTTTCGCACTAAAGTTGATGGCAAATGTGATTCACATTTTTAGGTGTTACAACTAAGAAAAGCATGCAGCCATCCTTACCTCTTTCCAGGTATTGAGCCTGAACCTTATGAAGAAGGTGAACATCTGGTTCAGGTAACTACCACTCTTATTTTATATTGTGATAACATGGGCCTTTAGACTTATCCTACCCTGGGTCTTTAGTCATATTGGTAGCTGTCAGATTATAAGTTTATTTCTGTTTGATCTTTTACTATAAATATTTGTTGTTAATGCTGCTTTTTTCACTTTGAAGGGGGGAAAAGCATGGTAAAAGAGAGAAAAAAGAAAATGGAATAAACAGAAAAAACATTTTCTTGAGTCAAACGTACTGGTTGAAAAGTCTTTGTCAACCATGTTCAATTATCCACCTTGCATCATTTAGACTGTTTCACATTTACATTCTTTGGTCCTCCCTCTCTTTAAAGGTCTTGTTTTTCATCAAGACATAACCTGTCAAACTCTACTGTTCTATATGTATATGATTACTGGGTCAAAGGGTAGGAATTAAAACATTGATTTTCTTTTCTTCTTAGTTGTAGCTAGTTAATTTCTGAAAGAGACAAAATAACAGTTCTGACAGCCACAGGATCCCATTTACAATATATGCTTAACTCTTGCACTATAATTCATGCTTCTCTCATTGCTTTTTGCTCTATCAGGCCAGTGGTAAATTGCTTATTCTGGACCAACTTCTTCAGAAGTTACATTATACTGGACATCGTGTTCTTCTTTTTGCTCAGATGACCCATACACTTGACATTTTGCAAGTAAGATTTTTCTACCTTTGTGTTGAGTGCCTTATATTAGTTAAGGGAATATATTAATGAAATACATTTTTATTTCTGATATAGGATTTTCTGGAGATGCGAAATTATTCATATGAGCGTCTTGATGGATCAATTAGGGCTGAGGAGCGCTTTGCTGCTATAAGAAGTTTCAGCAGCTCATCAGCTAATATGGGCCTGAATTCTGAAGATGACCAAAATGGAGCATTTGTTTTTATGATCTCTACAAGAGCAGGGGGAGTTGGTTTGAATCTTGTGGCTGCTGATACTGTGAGTCCTGTCAAGCTTTCAACCTTCTTCAAATTGGAACCTGACTGCTGATTTATTTTATTGTTTATTTATTTATTTATTTTTATAAATATTGGTATATACAAAATGATGATTCTTCTAAGGTTTCCATTTGACCAATTGACTTCTTTCTTTGGTTGCATTTTTCTTTTTCTCCTAAATGTGGCAATCCTTGGGAACCGGACTTTGGATGTCTGGATTGATGGAGATGATAATTATACTGGTTGTTAAAAAATACGAAACAAAAAGTAGGGGTGTCTAACAATATAGAAAATCAGAATGATGGAAAATATGTTGAATTAAGTATTCCACAACAGTAATCGACCATGTAGGAGGTTGGGCCTTGAAGCCGGAGAAGGTCATTGTACGCAGCAACAAAAATAGTAACATCTGCAGGTGAGGCTTCAACTACTAGTGGGGCAACTTGGGCCACATTTGCAGGCTTCGACTGGTCTCTAACCTTGGTGTGACATTCAGCCTCAACATGGCCATATTGGTTGCAAAAGTTGTGATGAAGATGGCATTGACCACTATGAGCTCCACTTCGACCTCCATGTTGAGAAGATCGGGAGACAAGGGCAGAAGAATCTCCAAAAGGGGCAGTCTTAGATAATTTCAGAGAGAAAATGTTAAAATGTAAATGGAGTTTTTCATTTCACTCAACCCATTGAAAATAGAATACAGAGGGAGCATTTATAGTAGCTACCCTTATTGGTATAGCTGTTAAAAATTGATTACAAAAATAAAACTTTGACAGCTGGCACAACAAGCCTACTAGAATATTCTGTTGTTATAATATTTCCCTTTAATAACCCCCTCAAACTCAAGGTGGAGGTTTGTCAGAAAAACTCTTCACATTGAGTTTGCCTCTAAGAAGTTCAAATCTGGCTGGAGAAAAGCTGGAATGTGATAAATCAGAAGCTGCTTGGATAAAACCTTCTCTCCAGCGAAAAGATATCAATTTCCATATGTTTAGTTTGACTGTAAAAGACAGGATTGTGAGCAATAGCTACTGCACTTTGGTTATGATAGAGTAGGACAGGTGTAGAAAAAGGAACATGAATTTCTTGTAACAAAGCTTGAACCTAGGTTAACTCAGCTAAGGTTTGAGGTATACTGCAATATTCACTGTTAGTTTGAAAGACAACTCAAGGATGCTTGAAAAGTCGAAGAGAATTACTAGAAAGATAGCTTAGCTAGATAGTTGGAATGAACATCATAGATACCTAAATATTTAAACTTGAAACTAAGTCTGACAACAACACTTGGGACAAATAGATGGGCAAGTGTGCGTCATGATTGACATAAATCACTATTGGAATGATTGTCAGTGGGAAAATAAGTCACCACTAATATGATTCATTTGTGGGAAAGGAGTTGCCACTAGAATGATCATCACTGAGAAAAAAAGTTCAGTATTAATATGATTCATTTCATAGTAGTCGATCGCGGTTGGAGCGGCCGCTATCGTGGTGCTCTGGAGCGGAGCAACCCGATGCCGCAACTGTGATGACGTCGTGTCTCGATTGTGTCGCGGCTGGAGCAGCCATGTCGATCGTGTCGCGGAGTGTGAAAATTGCATAATCGCGATGCCTCTTGGACAGATCCTTCATTAAGGGTAAGTCTGTCATTTCACTAGGATTTTTTTTGCCCTAATTCTTCCTTTCTCCCTCGTATGATTTCGTGGAACCACTCTTCTCCTTCTTTTCTTAACTTTTTGCACTAACTCTCCTCCTTCTCGGACACGATTCTCTGTTGGGGACGACGCACTTTTGTCTTCTTTAGGTGTCTCTCTCGACTAGGTCATCCGACATCTCCTCCAGTCTGTCCCGTTTGTCTTCTTCTTCTTCTTCTTCTATTTTATCTATTTTTATTTTGTCTTCTTCCTTTTTCTTTTCTTATTCTATTTTTTTATTCTGCTAATCTACTTTAGTGCTTCTTATTCTCTCTTCTCCGTTTTTCTTTTGTTTCGTGGCTTCTAATTCAACTGCTTCCCTACTTCTAATTCAGTAGCTTATTTTTTTTAATTTCTGATTAATTTAGCTACTTCTCTATTTCTAATTCAGCAGCTTATTTTTTTTTAGTTTCTGATTCTGTTATCTTTTGATTGGGCTGTTTTTGTCTTTAATTCAGTGTAATCATGAACCAACCAATCGCTGCTGGAATTGAAACTAATCCCAATTCTGGTCCCACTCCCACAACAGAAATGTTTAAGCCCATTGGTGACAATATTGATGTCTTTTGGAAGTGGAACAGCTTAAAAGACAAAAATAATAAGAAGAGTATCACATGTGATTTTTGTCTAAAAACATCTACTGGAGGAATTACTAGAGCAAAAAAACATCAACTTGGAATAAAAGGCGATGTAGGTGCTTGTAGAAAAATTCCTTGGGATCTAAAATTGGAAATGAAGGCTGCCTATGAGAGTAAAAAAATTGCCATAGAAGTATATATGGAGTGTGTGGATGAAAATGAAGAGGAGGATGACATCCAAGCCATTGCTAGAATTAAGAGACCTTCATCCACATCAAGTGAAGCCACTTCTGTTACCAAGAGGAGGGGTATAAATGTCAAAGGTCCCCTTGATTTGCACTTTACTAGAAAGGTAGAAGAAAGTATCAAATTGAATAAGGGCCTGAGGCAAACAAGTTTAAATGATGCTTGTAATAAGGAAGCAAGAGCAAGGGTAATTCAATACATTGCTCGCTTTTTTTATTAGAATGGAATTGCATTCAATGTTGCTAGATCAAAGAGCTTCAAATTGATGGTTGAAGCTATTGGCCCCTATGGTCCCCATTTAAAGCCACCAAGCTACCATGAATTAAGAGTGCCACTCCTTAAAAAAGAGTTGGAATACACCAAGGGCTTATTGAAGAACAATGAAGAGGAGAGAGTAAAATATGGGTGCTCAATTATGTCTGATGGTTGGACGCATAGGAAAAATAAAACTTTAATTAAAATTTTGGTAAATAGTTCAATGGGAACAATGTTTGTGAAGAGTGTGGATGCTTCTGAGTATACCAAGATCGGTGAGAAGGTATTTGAACTTTTGAATAGTTTTGTTGAGGAAATTGGAGAAAAAAATGTTGTTCAAGTAGTAACAGATAATGTAAGTAATTATGTTATGGCGAGTAAGAGTCAATTATATTCTAATTTTATACTCATAGGATTATAAGTTATAACTTCTAATTTTAATTATTTTGTTAGTGTTTTTAGGCAAAATTTTACAAACTGTGAGACTACATTTATTTTGGACTCCATGTGTTGTTCATTGCCTTGATTTGATGCTAGAAGATATTGGAAAGATCCCTAAAGTTAAAAGGGTAATAAAAAGAGACATCAAGCTCGTGAGTTACGTTTATAATCATACCTTGACCCTGAACACCATGAGGAAGTATACAAATAGGGCCGAATTAGTGAGGCATGGAGTTACAAGATTTGCTACCACCTTCCTTACTTTGCAACGATAACATAATTTAAAGGAAAATCTTAGAAGGATGTTTACTTCCGACGAGCGGTTGCAATCAAAAGGAGCCAAAGAAGCTAAGGGGAAGAAAGCAACGAATGTTGTTCTTATGCCTTCATTTTGGAGTGATGTTGTTTATGCTTTAAAGGCTATGTGACCTATTGTACGTGTGTTGAGGTTGGTAGATAATGAAAAAAAATCGGCAATGGATTACATTTATGAAGCAATGGAAAGGGCTAAAGAGACAATTCAAATTTCTTTTAATCATAATGAAGAAAAATATAAGGATATATTTACAATTGTTGATAGAAGATGGGATTGCCAACTCCATCATCTGTTGCATGCCACAGGATATTATCTAAATCTTGAGTTCTATTATAAAAGTTCAACTAGAATGGATGTTGATGATGAAGTGGTGGATGACCTTTTCAAATGTATTGATAGGCTTCGCAAAAATGATGACATTGTAGACAATGTTCACAATCAATTAGCAATATATAAAAGGGCAGGAGGAAGATTTGGCATTGCTGCAGCAGTTAGAGCAAGGGTTAAAATGGCTCCTGGTAAGTGAGATTTCTCTTAAGCCTTAACTTCACTACAAATTTTATAGTTATTTGATAATTTATTTATAAAATAATATTTGCATTTATAGTTGAGTGGTGGAAGATGTATGTAGGACATACACCACATTTGCAAATTATTGCCATTAAGGTTCTAAGCTTGACTTGTAGCTCATCTGGTTGTGAGCGTAATTACCTTTGAGCACCAAAAGCTTCAAGACTTGGTTTTTATTAAATATAATCAAGCTCTTCAAGAACGCTTTGAGTGTCAAGATGCAATTGATCCAATTGCTTTAAATGAAGTTGATGATAACAATGAATGGATGTTGGGAGAAGAGAATGATGAGGATGATTTTGAAGATGACTTGGTGTTTGATGATGATGTTTTGACTTGGATAGATGTTGCCCAAGCAAGTGGTGCTGGTGAACCTTTGAAATACACTAGGAGACAAACATAAGTGAACAAGACATCAACAATTGCATCTACATCTAGGAAAGATAAAGGAAAAAGTGATGGAAGTAGTGGAAAACGAGGATGATGATGAAGTATAGGAAGAAGAAGAATATAATTCTAATGTTAGTGGGGGTGATGAATTTGAGGGAGAGGAAGACTTTAATCTGGATAAGGAAGAAGATTAAACTATAATGTTTACTTTTTTAGTTACTTAGAGCTTTAGCACTTTGTTATGAAGACATTTTATATTATGTATTGTTTGAGTACTATGAACTTCTAATTATTAAAAATGTTCAATGCATGAATTTAGATTTTTTTTTTAGCTTTTATATATATATATATTATTAATTATTTAATATATATAAATTAATATTAAAATAGCGGTTATCCCGCTCTGTGTCATCTCGTTATCTCACTTTTAGAGTCACCCGCTCCGTTCTGCTATCTGGGATTGACTATTATGATTCATTTAAGGAAAAAAAAAAGTCATCTTTGGGGTTTT